GCCGAGCACAGAACAACACCTGCAGAACCTTGTTTCCTCAAGGGTGAACTAGGCTTTCACTTCAGCCAGGTGTCCGCACTGCTAGGTAAAGCCCAACTCAAGGCTTTTCGGCAACTGAGACATCATGTGAAAGCCCCTTAGAAGGAAGTAAACTATATGAACAGTATACGTCATTCCTATAAAATTAAAAAAAAAATATATATATATATATATACACACACATATGGGATCAGAAGCTGGACTCAAAAAGAACTCAGTGGCTTCCAGTAATGGCAGTCTAGGCAGTACATACCAACTCTCTCTCTCTCTCAGCTGTCTTTGCAGCTGGGCAAGACAAAAAGCAGTTGCTTGAAAGCATCCAAATGCTATCAAGGCAGTGAAAACCTACAGGACTGCAGAGACGCAGACCTACACTAGGTGAGCCTAGCACGTGGGACTGCTTTCCCCACAGGGACGCCTGCGGATGAGGCAATCAGAGCTGAGCAGGGCTTTCAGAAGGATCGCAGGGAAAGGGAGCTCAGGACCTAACGAGGAGAAGGGGCCCCGCTGAGCCCTCCTGGCTTTGGGCGAGGCTAGAATCTGGAACTGAATCCAAATTCAAAATCTTAAGCCCCTTCTGGACCACAGTGATCCAGGATCATAAGTACTCCCACCCACCTTCCAGAAGCAAAAATAAATCCATTCTGAAGGGAAATCAACATCACCCTCCCTCAAGTAATCTATTTTCCACATACAATGTCAACACACAAAACACCACCAGTCAGGCATCCTAGAATAGAAGTCAGCATCATGAAACACAGAAGCAGACCAGATAATCAATCAACTTATCAGACAGACTTGATAAGAAAATCAAAGACGAGACTCAGAATTCTGTCAGAAAATTAGAAAAAATAATTTCAAATACCAGATAGAAATCCTAGAACTGAAAAAACAAAAACAAAAATAAAAACCCTACTGGAATTGAGAACTGAATGAATGGGTTTAAAAAATTAGACACCTCTAAAGAAAAAAACTGATGAGCTGTAATACAGATTAGAAATACCCACAATGAAGAGACAAAGATAGGAAAAAAACAGGAAAAAACATGATTGAAAGTTTTCTAAATCTGATAAATATTCTTATGTCATTAATGTTGAACAACTCCACAGCACAGAATCATATGTGCCAACAAAATCAGCACCGTCCGTGTTGTGGGAAACTCCCTAAGACAGATAACCCCATATCTTCAATATATCGCAAAAGAAAAAGAGATGACGTGTAAACCTAAGAATTCAAGAGACTTCAGAAACAGGTCAACCAATCACAACATGGGGACCGTAACTGGATCACAATTCAAACAAACAGTCTTGGGAAAAAACAACTGTGACATCCATAAGACAATGGAAACTTGAACTCTAAGTAGATATGAAGATACTAGAGAATTATTGTTTTGTTTGTTCTTCTTAGGTTTAATAATGATTTGTGATTATGTTAGAAAAAAAGCTCTTATCTTTTGCCAGTAACTGACATATTTACAGATAAAATGATAGAATGACTGAAATATACTTAAAATAATACAGATTGGGTAAGTAAATGGGTTATATATTAAAGCAAATTTGCCACGAGTTAATTATTGAAACAGGTGATGGATTTATGCAAGTTCATTATACTTTTCAGTTTACTTTTGCCTGGGTTCAAAATTCTCCATAATAATAATGTTTTATATAATTATCTGTAAGCTTGACCATCTTTATTACTTGTCCATTTTAACTGCTTCTATGATATAGCTTTGTTCTGCCTATTTCTTATACATTTGTGGAGCTCATTATTAGAAAAATTGGCCCTTTTTCCATTAGGATCAGAATTTTGGTTATGGCTGTTTTGTGGCATAGCTTTCCATTTTAAAGTAGTCAAATTTATCAATATATTCTTTTATAAATGCATGTCATCCTTGAAAAGGCACCCTTCCCTATCCCAAGTTCATAATATTCATCCAGGGTTTCTTTAGGACTTTATGATTTCACTTTCTTCCCCTCCACATTTAAATTCCAACCCACCTGGAGTTTATTTGGGTATTAGAGTGAGACTAGGATCAAACTATTTTTTTTCCAATAGCTACCAGTTGTCCCAACACTATTGAATAATCCATCTTTCTATTGATTTGAAATGTTGCCCTTTATCATATCACTGTAAATTCCCTTATACATCTTGAGTATATTTCTGTTACTGTTCCATTGGTTTGTCTATCTCAAACCAGTAGTATTATTTTAATTACCGTGCCTTATATTTTAATGTTATTTGTTGAATTTTTAAAAATTTTTTCTCCTATTTTTGTATGTTTATTCTTCCTCATACACTTCCAATGACTTTCAAGTTTCTTTAAAAAATTCTTAAAGAATTTTAATTGACTGCATCATCATTAATTGATACGTAGGCAAAACTGTTACCCTTACACTAAGCCTTTCTATCCAAGAACAGAAATCATTTTTCTGGCAGTTCAAACCTTCCGTCTCTAGGTATGTCTCAATTTAGAGGGTCTGGTACATAGCAATCACGGGTAAATGTTTACTGAATGAATGACTCTGTTGTACCAGTATTTGGGGGATTAAGTGTCATTAGTAGAGAAGTTTGAAAACTTTCAGAAGTCAGTGGAGTTTATAAACAGAAGACATTTTGATGTTACAGAAAAGAATCCAGTGCTTTGTACTAATTAGAACCTTCAACTGGTATATGTTTTGTACACCTGATATTTAGAATGACCTTAAGCTCTGCACAGTTTCAAGGTATCTTTAGAACTGCAATAAACACATATAATTTAATGTTAATTTACCATAAAAGGTACTTTGACTCCTATTCCTTTGAAAATTGACGGTTTACATGGGTACACAGAAGAGGGAAAACAGTGGGTTGGGAAACTAGCTAATACATTATTGTATTAAGTTAGAAGAGAGGTAATGACATAAACTAAGCTAATGGCAACAGAAATAGAGAGATTAATTAAACAAGGTGAAAAAAAAAAGGAGTCTAAAAGGATCCCAGAGTCTGAGCTATGGTGGCAGAGAATAATGATACCAACAACAGAAATGAGCCAATTATGAGGTTAGGCAGTTTTGAGGAAGAAAATAATTTTAATTTAAAACAGGTTGAGGGACTTTCCAGGTGGTCCAGTGGTTAAGAATCCGCCTTCCAATGCAGGGGACATGCGTTCGATCCCTGGTTGGGGAACTAAGATCCCACATGCCATGGAACAACTAAGCCTGCGCACTCTGGAGCCCGCACATCTCAACTACTGAGCCCGTGCACCACAACTAGAGAGAATCCTGCAACGAACAGCCCGCGTGCCGCAATGAAGACCCAGCACAGCCTAAATAAATAAATAAATAAATAAATAAATAAAACAGGTTGAATTGGAAGTAAAGCACAAAGTCCAGTGCACAATAATGATGAAGTTCTAGAGGTGGGACTAAAATAATCATTTGACAGTCCTATGTCCAGAGATGAGGATAAAGCTCTGGAAATCAGTGTTATATGAAAAATGTGTTCATTTGAACCCATCTTACCACTTAACAACAGATAAGTGAAGTACCACTGCTCACTGTTATTCTAGTCATCACTTTTTTAAAAAAGAAAGATATCAAAATATAAAAATATTTTGATCAAATAAAAAATATACGAAAAATGCTGTAATCCTCTGTTTTAAAAATTCAATTATATAAAGCTGAAGAAGACCCCTCAGTCCTGATAACTGAGCTTTACAACCAGTGATGCCAAGAATCTAGCAGGGAAACGCCAAAGATACTTGCTTTAGGTTTGATTAGAGAACTGGGGGGAAAGGGGACATTATCACATCAATCATAAACAAACAGTCCTTCTCAAATCACCAAAATCAACTGCTAAAGAAGAAACACAAGGTGAAGCTTGTGCTACTTTTAGACTGACAGGCGTATCTACAGAATTATAATACACATCTCACATGAGGTAAAAAAAAAAAAAAAATCAGGCTTTGAGTTTCAAATTCCACTGCAAGACATCAGCCAGCTTCATAATCCACCTTTTACTCAGTTTTTGAGACAAAGAGATGTTAATGTTATTTCACACCACTCTCCAAGCCCACGTGTAAGTTTAGCAAAGATTAATTAAAACTCTAACCATTAGGCACCATTAATCTAAGCCAAGTACCAGTAACTCTGTAATAAGAAGCTTCAAGATGTATGACTTCCATTGTGCCTGACACGTTAATGAATTTGGTGACACAGAACATAACACAAACCTAATTTGTAATCTTTCATTAACTTGCTCCATTTTATTTGACGGCATCCATTGTAGTAAGTTTTCAATGTGTCATACTTCAAAACAAACCCAGAAAATATCATTTATAATTTATACGTTTCATTATGGTGGACTTGCTCTATTCCAGATTAGGTATTTTACCGTACTACGTATTCTTCACACAGTGTAACATTTACTGCTTCAAATCCCATCTTTCCAATACCCTCTTTAAAACATCTCAGCACCCCATCCTAAAAGATTAGAAACTTTGCCGTGAAAAAAAAAAAAGTTTAAATGTATTCATCTGAAAGTAGACAGAAAAAGTGAATAATGACTTTAATCTAGTTTTGACCCCACTGAGCACTTAAAGCTGGGTGGATACACATACACACAGATAACATAAGGGATCGCATTTGAAATATAAAGAGTGTATTTTCAAAATAGTTTGTGGTGATTTATATATCCTGTATCACAGATATTTCTGATTAAAGATTCCACCTAAAATAGACATTTTCTGGGAGTTGCTCCATGGGAATTCCAGAGGAACATTGTAATGTTTATATTCGTTGGAATATGTATCCACAAGAAATTGAACTCAGCATGGAAACTAAAATAAGCCTTTCAAGTATTTAAAATAAAATTTCCAACATCATCCCAAGGTGAAAAGTGACTTCTGATCATGTTTTCATTCCTGTCCAAGTATATACTGCAAAGAATTTCTCATTAGGAAGGCTTTACACAAAATTACATACCATGACCTGATGATATTTCCTGATGATGGCTTTAAGCCACTTAAACTTTGCCTTCTTGTTAAATACTCTTCTGAGGTATATGAGAGTCAGCTCCTGGACCTGTGTGCAAAATTTAACAGCCAAATTTTATCTAACTCAATGATGGAACCTAAGGTACTCAAATTTGCTAAGAAAAAAGCAGCGGCGCTTGATAACTACTTAGTATCAACAGATTAATCATCTAAAGTACTGCTTTAACTTTTATTACTCTCGTACACAAAAACCTTCAATGCTCTACCGCTGCAAATATACTCAACCTCCTTAACTCGCTGTCCTTCACCATCTTGCTCAACCTCGACTCTCTGAGTATCACAGCCAAAACCCCACCCCAGCCGGTCAGGCGGCCCGCACTCCAAACGCGCTTCGTCCTCCTGACTCCCATTTACACTGCCTTCTGCTCCCAGAATGACAATCCCTATGGCCCCTCCTTTGGTCCACAGGGATTACAGTTCCTTCAAGGCCTACCCTATTCTATTTGACGAACATCGCCCTCTTCTATCTCCGGTAGAAACAGTTTCTTCCTTGCTACAGCGTTTTGAATGTTCCCCTCCCACAACGGCTCCTGAAGGGGCTGAACCGAGACACTAGGACAGCTACTCACCAACTGAATACGGAACTCTGGAGAGTGGAGAAGAGAGCTGCTACCCGGACGTGCTGCGACTGCCTGGTGGCTCTTTCTGCGGGTTTTGCTGCAGATGTTCTCTGTGCAGGTTTAAATTATACATGTAAATGTGGCGTTTGCCTACTGTGGCAGCATCAGGCTGTAACGAATTGAATAGAGCTGTATGTCTAAGGCCAAGTGATTTCTAGGAACATGAAGTGACTTGAAACAGTCTAATTCTGGTCTCACCCTAGAGCAAAACAAAGAGCTAAGTAGTGAATGATCGCAGGAAGAAAGTCCAACTGCAACTGTTTTTATCCTCTCTTCTTCTCTATGATGACTGAAGGTCTGTGAATGAGACAGATTACGCGTTGTTTTCCTAGAATGTCTGGACAATTCTCTGATTTCCTAAAAATGGATAATAACTCCACGAATTAGCCTAGTGGGCTATAAAATCAGGAATGATGTATAATGAAATCAATCTGATTCAGGTAGGCTCACATCAAAGTTACTTTCACACAGAGAATAAAACTTATTGTTCATGAGAGTTAGTGGATGAAACCCTCATAACAGCTAGAAAAGAAAAACCTTGAAAAATTTTCCTTACCTTTATTGCTGCAGTTAGTTTTAACTAAGAAATGGCAATGACAAATAACTGCTGATTATCCCCTAAGATGTAATAAAAACTATCTTTTAAAAATTTGGTAAGTGATACAATGAACTTATGAAAAAACAATACATTTGTTTGTAGTCATATGCAGTTTACTGGAATGAAAACTTCATGTTAAAAGATTAGTGTAGGGACTTCCCTGGTGGCACAGTGGTTAAGAATTCGCCTGCCAATGCAGGTGACACAGGTTCAATCCCTGGTTCGGGAAGATCCCACATGCCGCGGAGCAACTAAGCCCGGGCGCTTCAACTACTGAGCCTGCGCTCTAGAGCCTGTGCTCCGCAACAAGAGAAGCCACTGCAATGAGAAGCCCGCACACCGCAACGAAGAGTAGCCCCCACTCGCCGCAACTAGAGAAAGCCCATGCGCAGCAATGAAGACCAAACACAGCCAAAAATAAATTAAAAAAATAAAAATAAAAAAAAGATCAGTGTAGATTAAAACATCCTATAATTAAACCTCATTCTGAAAAGTAAAACAGACCTAGAGTGTCAAAGTTATTCTATAAATTACAAAAAAGAAAAGAAGTGCTAACACATATACATACTTTATGTGCTTAAATGACCATTTTAGACTTAACACCAACCAAAAAATGAAAATGTCCAATCAAATACCTGTGAACAGAAAAAAAAAATCATTTCATTTAGAAACTCTTAAATATTTATGCTTTTTAAACCTCTTTTTAACTCTCAATACAGATTTCCGGCCCAACAGAATTAACCTAATTAAAAAACAAATGAAAAACGGCTTTTAATTTAAGGACACCGCCTGTATAGAAGAACACTGATGCCTGCCTGTTTGTTGGTTTCAGATGTGAAATCAAATAGCACGGCACATGGGCACAGAACTTACTTGCTTCATGACAATTCTATTAATGAGTTTCCCATAACGCCCCAAGCAGAGCGCATTATCGTTTCTGACCTAAAATTTAGATGGGAAACTATTTTGAAAACCAGTACAAATGCTACATCTGTATTCTGAGTAGCAAGAATAATAATTCTATACCACAAACATTACAAACATGTGCTAAGTGCCAGGCCCATGACCTTGCACTTTCCTATGGGCCTCGCCTAACCTTCACAGCCATCTGGTGAAGGAGGCACTATTATCATCCCCATTTAACAGAAGAGAAAACTGGGGCCCAAAGTGGCTGAGTAATTCACCGTGAAGTCAGCTGGCTCAAGTGTGTATTTTCCAACTCTATATTTGCTGCATAAACTGAAAGTTACTCTACAGGGAATGTAATGGAAATAGTATTTCAATACATACCTATTCCCCACAGGGAGAAAGGAATTCTTAAAAGAGAAGTGAAGGAATATTGGCAATACCACATACTAGTAGAAAAAGGAGTTTATTTTTGAAAACAGAAAAATTAACTAAGTAATATTTTTAAATACAGCGCACTAGTATTTTCATATATTTGGCTTAGAATACCTAGAATGTAGTAACTGAAGTGTCTGCATTCATCTGTTTTAAAAACATGAACATTTTTGGAAATCAGTACCCATCTGTTTTTATTTATATGTGAATACGAGTACTTTGAAGAATACAAAAATAAAGAGTACTATCAAATTCTGCAGCTTTATTGTATTCATTGCCTACGTATGTACATACCTAGAAGTCCTTCTAAATGATTTACACCCAGAGACTGATGCAGATTTCAACAATGGTTTGATTGTAAAACTAATTTTTCCCACTTGCTTTGTATATTTTAACTGAAGTATATTCCAATCTTCTTTCACCTGTTCCCATGGCTGGCGTTTTAATACAGTGCCACTGGCTTTCAGACTGAAAACATCGCAGAATGTCAGACCAGTTTAAGGGGCCCAATGAGAAGATCATGAAAACAGAGACATCGGATGAAAGTGTGATCTGCCAGAATTTCACACCATTCTTCCAGGCAGTCCAGGGATTATCTTAGAGGCTAAAACCAGTTCTGAAAGCGAAGGAGCAGCCATCATGCCTGAGTACTAACTGCTCTTTACCCATTGGTGGCTGTGGAATTTTCTGTACTCTCACTTTTTATGGATTCCAACAAGTTTTTAATTCTTTCACTTGCAGGCTTCTTTTTCTTCTTGGCAAGAGACATACTATTTGCTACAGAAGGTAGCAGCAGGGCTGCCAGCCCCCAGGGCTGATTATTTGATGGCGAAAGGCGATCTTTATCTTCCTGATGTAAAATCCAGGCACTTTCTCTGGCCAGATCTACAAATTTTTGCAGCTGACTTTGACTTACATTTTTGCTAATGTTGAGAGAAGTTTCAAAAGGATTCTGAATGTGCAGTGGAGAAGATTCAGGTTTGTTTTGTTCCCTTCCCTACAGATAATTACAAGGAAGACAAAGATGTATAAATATATGAAGGGCTCAGATATAAAAACTGTTTGGTTTAATAAAACGTCAAAAACGCATAAAATACCAGCATTAACTTTACAGAGTAAAGAGTTTCTTCCCCAAGGGGAGTGGGTATATATGCATGTTATGAGTTAGTGTATATGTGTGTGTGTACTTCTGACTGATTTTTTCCACTGTAGTTTTATGAATATTCTTTAGAGAAAAGTAAATTAGGTTTATGAGCTATGGATGATGATGTCACTGCTCTGATGAGAGGTATCTGGGCTGAGTCAACCAATAAAAGTATTTTTAAAATAACATAATATTTACCTAACAGAATAGAGCTGGGAAAGAAAAAAAATATGAAAAAGAAAAATGGCAGAAAACAAGATACAGTTATGTTTGAAACTTGCTAAAAACATACTTATTACAGTGGGAATAGAAGCACACAAAATCAGAAGCCTTAAATTAAATATAGTAATTAATGTTGCACAAATATGAAATGAGAAAGGAAGAGAAGGAACAAAGGATTATTCATTTAAAAACACTAGACGTTTCCCATCTACATTCCTAAAGATCCAACTTAAATAAGGCTCTGCCAGGTAAGACACAGAAATAAAAAGAAAAGCTAGAGCTCGAGTCACACAAACATCAGTGATCCACTAGCCTATATAATCGTTTCCTCTTGCAAATGACACCACATATGACTCAGACACTGCAAAACCAGCAGTCAGGTCTCCAACGCGAGCAGCCCGTTAATTCCCTAACTCCTCTCAAGCCGCTGCCCCGCAGGGTCCTGCCTGACCACCATCCCCGAACCTTAAGGGGTAAGGGTGCAGAAAGGGTGAAGAACTCCCTATGCTCTGTGCCTTCTTCCTTCTAGACTGCAGTCCAGAGCGCTGTGCCTCTACCCTCTCCCAACCCCACACTTTCTTTCTTTTTTATTTGTTAAAAACAAGATCTCCATGAGCAGGATAAGGGTTAGGGAAGAATGAAAAAAGGAGAGTTGAAGAAACAAAAACAATATCTGAGTATGTGCTTTATGAAGCCCGTCTTCTAAGGGCTGTAACCAGATACCTACATGCTGAGCAGAACAGACCCGGAGCGCCATCTCGAGTATTTCCCACGTGCAAACAAGTTTTGCTCAGGGTTTACTCTGATAGATTCTCTTTAGGGAAAATGTCTGTCATTCCAGCTACTCAGATGAACCCAAATCATAATTCACTTGCCTAAGTAATTTAAACCCTAAGGGTTCAAACTGAGGGAATCACTCACATCTATCTTTGGGACTAGGTATTCTGTTTCTTTCATAGAAACCCAAATCCAGTTTAAAGAGAACTATATGTAAAATCATGCTTTCTAAAAAACTTTCAGAATATATTCCACATTTTGAAGGACACAGTATTAGTAGTAAGTGACACAAAGTTACTTGGCCACGTGACAAAGGCAGAAGTTGAAAAGAGCTGGCCTTTGCTCCTCCAGACACTAGATGACTGATCTTAGCCAAGTCATGTAGCTCCACTAAGGTACCAGCTTTCTTATTACCGTCTATCACCATAGAGGTGACATGCAATGACATTTGTTACAGTGCTTTGAAAACTAAACTCGTTAAATATTAGTGCAGTAGAAGACCATGTAGCTAATAACCAAACATTGAAACAGTATTTACCTGTCGAATATTAATGGAATTTTTATTGAACGCGAAATTTCCAAAATATTCAAAAAATTCTTTCAGTAGTAATTCTGTAAGAAAATAAAACAAGGAAAATAATAAAAAAGTCTGTTTCAGTCCAAAAGGAACAAAGAGCAAGAAAACACCTACCTAGTGTTTCTGAGTTTCCTGAAGGTTTAATTCTATTGAAGTCGCGAACAAATGTACAGTTGTGGCCTTCTATTATACACTTATCTTCTGCATCTTAAATAAACAGGAATGAAAAATATTTAACATTCTATTTCAAAGATATTCCCTATTTCAGAAATCTATAATCACATAAATCAAAGTTACAGATAAATGTGCCCTATTATTAGTCAGTGTTTTTTATATATAGTATAGACGGTTAGCAGGATTAAAACTCGATTAAAAAAAGATTTGAGAGCAATTTTACCTTGGTAAAATTAACTTCACATGTACTTTAGCAAACTAGAATTGTCTATCAACACTCGATGATTCCTAATCTATCTTTTGAGGTCATCAGTTTTCTAGCTGAAAATGTAGACAGTTCCCATCTTTCACCAACTTAAATCCTGGCACTATCTTTGATCAATAATATTTAATTTCCATTTTCATTCTTATCACCCTTTTGTGCGTTTACTTTCAACAATTCATCCACGATACATACAAATTGAATGTTCTAAGAATTCTGAAAAGCTTCCAGTAATTTCTAAGATGCAGGCCTCTAGAGTGACTGGGATTCAGTACCACACATTTAACAGCACAGTGGACTTAAACATTCACCTTTCCTAACAGTATATACATCTTCAGAGGTAATCATTTCCCTAGTTATCAATAAATATACAGCTACCATGAAATCCTGCAACCATTTTAACCTACCTTCCACTGTACAACATGCAGGCAAACTCCCATTCTGGAAAGTCTAATGAGTGGCCACCTAAAAACGGCTTTCGCCTTCCCTAACTCCAAGCTGGCGCTCCAGCCTTTCTGTTCTGTGCTCCATCGGCACTTGCCCGACTGCGCTATGACTGCGTGCATGCTGTCTGCTCCCTTACCCCAGTCTGGGGCTACAGAGGCCACTGTCCAATCAAGGCAGTGATGACCTTCCCTCCCCGCTCCCATCCAGCCCATAAGAACAGAGTCCAGCAGCGTACAGCGGGCACACAACCAAGAATCTGAACGATCGCTGATATTTGACTCTGAGTGCTTAT